CGGAAGGGGCATTGGAGATGGGTGGTGATGCTCCGGAGACTGGTGATTTAGAGGCAGCGGCGGCTGAGCAGGAGCCACCCGAGCAACTTCCGCCGGACCAACAGCCACGTCCTCCGCGGGTGCTGCCCAGAGCCTGCCTTGATGACCCAGCTAGTGTGGAGGTGCCGTACTGCATGCGGTTGGAGGCGGATCTGCCCAACCGCACTATGCTGGTCGGCGTTGGTGTTGCAGAACGCATCTTCGTATGCAACACCTGCCACAAGGCCTTGAGTGGTAAGTCAGTTTGTGCTGCATGCTGCTCATCATAGCTATGATGTCTAACTCAGTGCGGCACATTCTGCCTGCGTCTCTTCTGTTCCATTCATCTGCAGCATGTGCTTGCCTCTCCTGCCTTTGCTGCCTGCTTTCCTATTGATTCCCTAGTCGTCTCGGACCTACTTGCCCGTGCATGCCCCCCTCCTACAGCCCGACGAGTTCCCGAAGCTGCGCTGGCGCGCCTGGACCCTGGCGATGTGCCGCGCGTCAACCATCTGGGCGACCCTCTGCCGTCGCCCACTTTCCTGGAGGGACAGCTTCTGGGCCGCGGTCGCATCATCCAGCAGTTGCTCATCATGTACCTGGCAGACCGACTGCCGGACGTCTTCCCACGTGCTGTAAAGACTCACGGCATTGGGGTCGTAAATCCTGACCCGAATATGCTGCGAGCACAACTGCCGGCGCGGGCGTCCGACCTGGCCGGCGCTATCACGGTTGTGTGTGTCGACCAGGTTCGCAACCGGGCGGAGCTGCTGGAACACGTGCAAAAGGCGCCAGGTCTACAGGTGCGAGGACAGGTCATCGTCGCCTGGGTCCGTTTCTTGCAGCACAACGACGAGGAGGAGCTGGCTGTTGATGAGGATGCTCTGCAGGAGTACGAATGCATGGGCTGTGCTGCAGGTGTGCCGGACGAAATCTTGCAGGCTGCCCTTGCGCCGACTGATCCGGAGGTGGCGAACATTCTCCGCACCACCTTCCTGCACGATCGCACGGGTGCGGCAGGTGTGCGGCAGTTCCAGGACGTGGTGGAAGCGGCTGTTCGTGATGGCAATCTTGCCGATGCAACTGTGGCACCTGACGTGGATCCTGTAGGACCGGTGCAGCCAACGCTGGCGGATCCGACCCTGGATGCAGGTGTGTTATTTTGTTACCGTGTTTGGTATGATCTGTTGTGTAATCTCTGCTTTCGTGTTGCCCTCACACTGCACCTCCTGCATCGGACAGCCGCTACCGCCACTGTCCCGTGCATCGAAAGAATGCTCCTCTTGTGCTGACAAATCTCGATGCACAGCCTGACCTGCCGGATAGGCTGGACTCTTGCAGCACACTCGCCTGTCCCGCTGGTGATGTGTTCTACTACTCCCCCGTGTATGTTATTGAGTGCAGGGCAACTTGCCGATGCCCGGGCGCCTGACGTGGATCCTGCGGGACCGGTGCAACCTACGCTGGCGGATCCGACCCCGATGCAGGTGTGTTATTTTGTTGCTGTGTTTCGTGCAATCTGTTGTGTACTCTCTGCTTTCGTGTTGCCCTCACACTGCACCTCCTGCATCAAACAGCCGCTACCGCCACTCCTCTTGTGCATCGAACGAATGCTCCTCTTGTGCTGACAAATCTCGATGCACAGCCTGACCTGCCGGATAGGCTGGACTCTTGCAGCACACTCGCCTGTCCCGCTGGTGATGTGTTCTACTACTCCCCCGTGTATGTTATTGAGTGCAGGGCAACTTGCCGATGCAACTGGGCGCCTGACGTGGATCCTGCGGGACCGGTGCAACCTACGCTGGCGGATCCGACCCCGACTGCAGGTGTGTTATTTTGTTGCTGTGTTTCGTGCAATCTGTTGTGTACTCTCTGCTTTCGTGTTGCCCTCACACTGCACCTCCTGCATCAAACAGCCGCTACCGCCACTCCTCTTGTGCTACGAATCTCGATGCACCGCTTTACCTGCCGGATAGCCTAAACTCCTGCATCCCGCTTGCCTGTCCCGCTGGTGATGTGTTTTACTATTCCCCCGTGTGCGTTATTGAGTGCAGGGCAATATCCCGGACCGGGGCCATTCACTGCCATCCTGCGTGGACCTGTCGACCAGCCAGTTGAAGATGCACCAGGTGCGTGCATTCTCTTGCTTGGCTGAGCATAGGGCTAACGCATCTTCGCTCGTTTGGAACGCGTTCGAGATGATTCGATTTCGCTTTTGTCCGGCCTATGCACACACCATGCTGCATTTACCGCCGTTGCATCCTTACCCAGCTCTTGCGCATCCGTTGTCTGCTCGTGCAGTCGATCCGGCAGCTGCCACTCTGGACGAGCTGGAGCTCATCCTGCCACAGCCGTCAAATGTTGGCGATGATGGCAGCGAAATCGACCGCTTCCCGGGCCGAGTGGAGGACCTTCTGACTGGCCGTGCACGGCTTGTGTTTGCAGCTGGTGGCCGTGACAGCCACGTGCTGGATGACCGTCATCCCGCCATCCTCACCCTCTGCTTCCCCCAGTCCTTCCCGTACGGCTTTTCTGGTCAGCGTCCCCGCGGCATGTCTTTTCCGGCGTATTGTCGCCACCTGCTGCACCGTGTGCCACGTACACAATTCGGCGGCAATCTCATGCTGCTGGCACGCATGTACGACATCTGCGTGCGCCACGAAAGCATGGCACAAGTGGGCATTACCATGAACATGCGGCCGCATCTTGGCGAACCAGCAGCGCGTGTGCCGCGTGATATCATCCGTGCTATGGGCACCATACTGGCGCTGCCGTATCGGCACTCACAGCGGCGGCAGCTGCTTGCGCAGCAATCGCCGCTTGTTAAGGCGCTGGTGGAGGGCGCCCGCCTCAGTACTCTGCGCCTCGACCTCACAGACGCGTATTACAACGGTGCCCGATCCAAGATGCGTGCAGCCGCCCTCACCATTGGCTGGCCCCCGCTGTTCTTCACCATAAACCCGGCAGATATGCATGCAGCCTGTGCAGTCGTGGCCTCCGGACAGGTGTTGGACTTCGATGATGACGGACGACCGCAACATATCCCGAGCACGGTGGAGAAGTGGCGGCGTGTGAAGGATGACCCATACAGTTGCGCTGCCCTGCTGGTGGCCACCAAGGAGGTTCTGGTGGAGGAGCTCTTCGGCTTCGCGCCGGGCGCCATGCAGCAGACAAATCCGCGCTGCTTCTGCGGGCTCACGTTTGAGGTGGCGGTCAAGGTGGAGCAGAGCG